TCGAGTCTCTGAAAATATTGCCAGAGTCAGCGGAAAGCAGCCGAAAAAAGAAAGTTACATACATACACATGTATATATATATATATATATATATATGTGTATGTGTATAAGGTAAACCAATCCGCATCCACACATGTCCCAATGTTTGGCAATTTGTGCAGCAGCTAGACGGCAACAACAACAACAACAACAACAACAACAAATAATATATCTGGCACGTGCGCTGATAGCAAAGTGTAGGGGCTGTGGGTGCCGGAGGAGCTGAAGGAGGTGTTCTGGGAAATTGGTTGAATGAATAGCACTGAGGAAACTATGATGCACTGTGATTTAACTAGTTTGGTCCTTTATTCACTCACTTTTTCTGTGAGCTGTTATTGTCGCAAGTAGTTGAGGTACTCAAAGTGAAGGAAATAATTTATCTATAGCATTACAACTAAAAGATCAATATAGTGGCATGTAAGAGATTTTTGGTAAAGAGATTTCGGTAACTAATTCCGTTTTGCTCTCCACATTTGCATGCCTATATTTACTCTAGAGTAAGTTCTATAAATGCAATTAATATAAATTGCTAATTAATTTTTAAAACAATTTTTCAACTAAGAATTTAGAATATTAATTAATAATCGTGCTTCTTACAAATAAAAAAAAAAAAAATAATATTAGAAGACATGCTCAAAGTAATGAGCAAAAAGTTTTACACTGCGTCTCCGGTCTATTGGTCTATGTATGTATTTTATGGCTAGTGATATTACTCTAAAATTAGGCAAAGAATAATCGGTCTAGAATTATATAAAATTCAAGATATTATTAATTATATATTAATATTAATTATATATATATGAAATAGTTTAATTTATTTGTGGAAATTTTTAATACATTTATTTATATTCATTTTCAATATATTAATTTATGTATATTAATTTTCCTTTTCCAATTTACATAACAATATTTTAAAATGATATATTTTAAAAATTCTTATATACTCTTCTTTATTTATAGTCCATATTATTTTATTATTATTATTATTATTATTATTATTATTATTATTATTATTATTA